CTGAGCCAAAGGACTGATGAATCCCACACTAGAAAGAATTAAAACATTCAGGATAAGGCCTATGCAGCAATCTCAGAGAACCCAGACTAAAACAAGAGACCGCAGGTTGGAGCAAACAGACATCTGACAAAAGGGAGGGTTCAATGAACTGATGTGTTCAGTGTACAGGAAAAAATGAAAGAACCATTAAATAAAGATGGGGATAACAATTAAGATATCAGTTCTACCAAATTATCTAAAGATGCAAACAACTCCTATCAAAATCCCAGGTAGGCATCAACAAAATAATTCAACCCAAAATATCACTCCACCTCAGTGCAAGTGAGATTTTTTCAGTACATGATTCTTTGTTAAATGGATATCCATATGGAAAATGAAATCCTGACCGCACTCCCACACCATACAGCGGTTTACTTCAGACAACAGAACTATGAAAGATTAAACAATAAAAATTCCAGAACACTACATAACACCTGAACACTTTTGGGGATCACCAGCTTTTTTTTTAATGTATTTGGTTGTGACAGGGTCTCACTAAGCAGCTCAGACTCATAGTGATCCTCCTGTTTTCAGGCTCCCCAGCGCTGGGATTACAGGTATGTGCCACTACATCTAGTCTGTGGCTAATTCAGCCCGCCTGGGGGCAGAGGTGGCATGGCAGTGGTGTCGGGGATCCAATCACAGCCCCTGTGCTTAAGCAGGTGCTTCAGTCCACTGAGCTATCTCACCAGCCCCAACACCAAACTCTTAAATTGGATGTAAACAGCACCAAGTATAAAAGAAAATAAATTATATTTCATGAAAACTTAAGAATTTTTTTTCATCAAAAGAAATCATTAACAGATTAAAAAGCAATCCACAAACATAACATTTCTTTATGGCATTGTAGAGATATCTGGAATACGTATATCTGAAAAAGGAATCAAACCCAGAATATATTAAAAACTGGAGGTGGGGATATAGTTCAGCGGCATAAGTACCTGCCTGGCAAGGGGACTGAACTCAGGACCTCGCACTTGCCAGGCAGGGGCTTAGACCACAGAGCTATTTCCCTAGCCTAAACTTAAAATCTTAGTTATGAAAGAAAATCAGATAAAAGCCAGACATAGTGGTACACAACTATAATCCCAGCACTCTGGAAGCTGCAGCAGAGTGATTATAAATTCCACCCCAGCCTGAGCAACTTAATGACTTGGCAAAAACCTGTCTCACGATAAAAAAAGGCCAGGCATAGTGATGCATGTCTGTAATTCCAGCAGGAGGATCACTGAAAGTTCAAGGCCAGCGTCTGCTACATAGTGAGTTGATGGTAGGCCTAGAATACACAGTGAGACCCTGTCTCAAATACACGTACATTATCTATACACATGCAATTCTAAAAGGAAAAGTCAAAGCTTCAATTCTGAATAAAATTTTAAAAAAGAAAACAATAAATTCTAGTGAAAAAAGAATATAAGTTACTACTAGAAGGTATGAATCTGACTATTTCTGAGGTCCCAATAATGTTATTTTAATTTGCTTAACAGTACATGGCTATATTCAATTCACACAAAAAATGTATTAAAAGACATATTTAACATTTGTCCATTTTGGGCCAGGGAGACAGCTCAGAGGCCTAAGCACCTGCCTGGCAAGCACAGGGACCAGGGTTGGATCCCCACTGTGCTGGTTCCGTCCTAGGCTTGCCGAGCTGGTAACCAAGACCAGATGTGGTGGTGCATGCCTGTAATTCCAGTGCTGGGGAAGATGAAAACAGGAGGATCACTACAAGTCCTAGCTGTGTAGGGAGACCCTGTACCAAATATGTAAAATTTTAAAAATATAAATAAATAAATAAATAAATCTTTGTCCATCTTACTATGTATTTGCTATGCTGCAATTTTTCAAAATTTGTCTCCCCAAATTTCAATTGCATACTGAGCTAAAGAAGGTAAAGGAAAAAAATAATTTAAGTAAGTCAAGTTACCCTACTTAATTAGCAATAAGTTCCTTAAATAAGGAAACAAATAAGCTTCAAATGATTAGTGCATACTGTCAAAACATATGGAAAGAATGTGTCTAACAGTTTTTCTAATATTGACAAGAAGTAAAAATAATATTTAGGCAAATAAGAAGACAGAGATAACACTGTCTATAATGTCAAGAAAGAAGTTGAAAAATTAGGAAATACTTTAGGATAAGACAAATCAGTCATCTAAAGGATATCTAAGGGCCGGCCAAATAGCTCAGTGGATTAAAGTGCCTGCAAGCAGGTGCAGGGGCCTGAGGTTCGATCCCCAGGCCCCTGCAAGCAGGTGCAGGGGCCTGAGGTTCGATCCCCAGGCCTGCCATGCCCACCCCACCCCACCCCTGGAGCACACAGAGATGGTAATTGAGACTTGGTGTGGTGGCACTCGCCTGTAATCCCAGCTGTTGGGAGGCTGTAAACAGGCACATCACTATGAGACTCGATCTAGTAGTGACACCCTGAACACCCTGTAGAACCTTCCCTAAAATACAAAAACAACTAAAAATAAAAGAAAAATCTAAAAAATCAAGAGTATCTATATGATTAATAACAACAACAGTCAGTAAATTGGTTCTCCCCAGTCAATTTTCCCAAGTGGAGACACTGGAACATATTGATCCTGAATATGATTTTAAAATTTAGAAAGATACATTAGATATTTTACATAGTTTATTTGCTATATAGGATTGTACAAACAAACCAAGTGCAATACACTTGATAGTTAAACTTTTTAAGGGTAAATCTGATTGGTAATTAAATGTAATTTCATTGCACTACATATATACACATGCATATGTGTATCTTTATATAGTCATATATATACATACCTATATATATAACATACACATCTATATATAACATAAATAATGTGTATATCTGTACTGACAAAAAAGATAAAAATTTAAACATTATCATTAAGAGTTATAAAAGCACTAAAATAGTGTCACAATTATACAAGGGTATAGTAGAAAGAAATGGTTTAGTGGGTTAATTTCTCACTTATTATATGTTTACAGGTGATAAATCAAGAATCAGCTATAGGCACCTTATTTATAGACAGAAATACTATCAGGAAAACCAAAATAGGCATTTTCTTTTTATCTTATCTGAACAGGACCAGAATTGCAGCACAGGACTACTATTTTTCATACAATTTAAAGTATCATTTTACATTTTTAATCATGAATATAAACTACTGGTGATCAAAATTTTGAATCTTATTACAGAAGAATGTCATTAAAATTTTTACTTTGTACTCTTTGTAAAAACATATCATGAATGTTCATCCCAATTTTATAAATATACATATATTGTATATAAGCATATTTGCAGGTTTGAAAATCTATCTGTGAAGGAAACAAAAATGTTTTCTATTTATTGAAAGGAGCATACTAAATAACATATATAAAACCACAAAACCTGGCACAAGGTAAAGATTCAATATATTTAGCTATTATTGCCAGTATTTATCATAGACACAAAGAAAAAAAGGCTCAACAAAAACATTAGAACTGGTGGTATTTATTATGTGAAGCATTTGACACACTATAAGCATTCAACAGCTATCAACTAAATCAATTTTACCTAGCTTTTAAGAAACGATTTTCTTCTAAGACTATCAAATCAAAAAAGACACATCTACTTAATTTGAATAAAATCAAAGTTAAAACTAAAAAAGCATTTAAAGAAAGAAAAGTATGCTCTAATCTCATTGTTTATACAAAGAATTAGCAGCAGCAGCAATAGGGGTTACCGTGTAGAATACATATTGCATGTTAACTGTTTCTTCTAAAGTTCTCTCTTTTTTTTGGAACTGGGGGTTGAACTCAGGCCCCTGCACTTGCCAGGGAAGCACTTATTCCACTGAGCTATCTCCCCGGACCTGTTCTCTTGTCTTTTAAATTTTTGCTGCAAATAAAAATTTTAAAATTTGCTGGGATTCAAGAGGGGGAATCTCTCTAAAATGCTATTCCACACAGAAAGTAACTGCTTAAAAGGGCCAAAGGGCCAGTGAGATGGCTCAGTGGAATAAGTGCCTGCTTAGACAAGTGCAGGGATTGGGGTTCCATCCCCAGCACCACATGCCACACCAGCCAGACCAGGCATGGTGGTGCATGCCTGTAATCCCAGCACTGTGGAGGTTGAAAATAGGAGGATCACTACAAGTCTGAGATGCATAGTGAAACCCTGTAGCAAATGCATACAAAAGAAACGACGAAAATTTTCATATCATGTTAATTGTTTTTATACATAGAATAGTTACTGATTCTTTCACATCTACAAGATGATATACCAATATATTTCTCCTTGCAATATTCAGCTAGGGGAACACAAATAAGGCTATAATTAAAATTAAAGAAGGAAATGCTTAAACTTCCCTAGATAAGGCTCCACACTATCCTCTGAAAGCATATCACCTTATACAACAGGCCTGTAATGGAAACTAAAATCCAGAATGAATATAAAAATTAACCTTTCATTAACTGAAGAAAATGGAGCACATAAATGAGAATGAATAAATATACTTGTGAAATATCTTTAAGCAACAGGTTCACAATCTTTGTATTAAGAAACATTTTATTTCTCAATAAAATTATGGGAAAAAATAGCACAGATATACAGCTACTTTCTCTTAGTTCAATGAGAAGAAAGATTTGAACTAATAGTGTTTAGACAAGACATCATGTCTGCATCTTGTACTATGAATAACTACTACAAAGACAACAATATGCAATGTTTTAATTATTGTAACTGTCCTAACCTGTTTTGAAACTATCTTATTGGTACTTTTTTCTCAATAAAATTATTTTAAAAATATGAAAAAAAAGAAACATGTTAGCTCCTCTGTTAAATATTCAAATGAAACATAAGGGGAATCAAAGAACAGCAACCAGAAATGAGAAGTAAAGAGAAAAGGGGAAGTGCTAAGGTTCTAACAACCACATCTGCCCTTAAGTAAACCTAGCATGGGGACCTCCAGCTCCAAGCTTACCTGTGCATACTCTCTTTCAATAGCAGCCCTCTTCTGACTGAATGTCCTAAAAATACAAATAAAAATTAATTATCAAAAACATAACTTAATAATGTCATGTAAATTTATCAACACACCTTCAAATATTGTCTGGGAAATGTATTTCATTTTTTAGCTGTTTAGAAAGACTGCTACCAGCAGTAACAGTCTCCACAGTTACACAATCCACATTCAAAGCCCAGCTCTAACCACCTACAGGAATGATCTTAGACAAGATGTTAGACTTCCCTGTGCCTCAACTTCCTCCTTGGTAAACTGGGTTCAAAATCAGAACTCATTTCATAAAATACTCTAAAACTTATTTGAAATATAGAAAGTCATCAAAAGTGTCTAGCAGAATAGCTCAACACACAAAGTGCCTGCTTTGGCAAGCTCAGGAACCAGGGTTCAATCCCCCATCCTGCATGTGGTGCCAGCCCCACTCCCAGGGTGCGCTGAGCTGCTGGTAAGAGTCCAGGTGTTGTGGCACATGTCTGTAATCCCAGCGCTGGGGAGGCTGAAAACAGGAGGATCACCATGAGTCAAATCATCATAGTGAGACTCTGTATCACATACACAAATGGAAAAAAAAAAAAAAAAGGTGTCTAGCACACAGTAAATCTCAGGTCAAGTATTGGCAACTGTGGTAAGAATGGCTATTATATAATATGGTTACTAAAAATGTTTACTTAACTCAGTGACACAACAGAAACTAGAGAAAACAAGGTAAAAAATTCTGATCACTTTAACATGAAAACTCATAAACTGTTTCCTACTTTTTAAAAAACAGCACAAGGTGGCTACATATGTAGTGCACTGAGAACATATTTTCCATGTATGTATAATTTTGCAGATTCTAAGGTTCATACTTTTCACATCTGAACATTTATGGCTAGGCACAGTGGTAAACACAGGTAGTCCCAGCCACTTGGGAGGCTACAGGAGGAGACTTACTTGAACCTCATTTGTTTTTCTGTGTTTGTTTCTTTGGGGTGGGGGGAGGGTTGAGACAAGAGTCTTGCTTGTAATTTAGGATGGACTTCAGCTTACTATGCATCACAGGACAGGCCAGAACTTGCAGCGATCCTCCTGTCTCAGCCTCCTGAGTGCTGAGATTGCAGGAGTGCACCACCACATTCATTTTTGGGTTTGTCTATTTGTTTGTTTGTTTTTGAAATAGTATCTCACTATTTCAAAACTATTTTAGACTGGGGTCTTAAACTTGCTATGTAGATCAGGCCGGCCTTAAACTTGTGATTCTCCTACTTCAACCTCCAAGAGCTGGTGCATACCATGTCACCTGGATTGAACCCAGGATTTCTAGGCCAGTCCAAGCAACATAGGGAGATCTTGTCACTTTAAAAAAAATTGTAAATTTATAATGCAGGGATGAATCTTTATGACTAGCAGTATTTTCTCTTATTTTACTGGTTAATAAAATAATAACCTTATGAACCACATAATACTGGCAATTTACTTTGAATATTCTGAATTAAAAACTTATCTGTTCTATGCTAGGAATCTGTACTGAAAAACCACTGTAACCCATGAAACACACACACACACACACACACACACACACACACACTTCCATTTTCAACCCAATTTTGGAGGGGAGGAGGGTTGAGAAAGGGTTCTGTTCTGTAGTTCAGATCAGCCTTAAACTTACAACATAGCCCAGGCTGGCTTTAGCCTGATTTGCCTGCCTCAGAAGTCTGAGTGCTGGGATTACAGGTATGTAGCACCATGCCCAGGTCAACCAAAACTTACGAGTGTCCTTCTATTTGTGGAAGTCAGCATACAGATAAATATAGTAGTACAAGGTAGTATTTGATTCATACAGAAATCCCAGCACTCTGGGAGGCTGAGGTAGGAGGATCATGAGTTCAAAACCAGATTGGACAATTTAGTGACTTAACGAAACCCTGCTTCAAAATTTAAAAATGGGAAAAGGAGGTATAAACTCATTGTGTAGGTCCTGCATTCAATCCCCACTATTGCCACAGATAGACAGACAGACAATATCTGAAATTCTAAGCCTAGTTAAGTAAGTGTCAAAATTTGTTCCATAAATAAAAGCTTTCAATGGGGGGAAGCAGATCCTGCTGTACTAAGACAGACATAAGTGGAAAGAGAGTTCACTGGAATAGAAAAAAGTCATGAAATCAAAATTAACTTGAAAAAGTATTTAAGTTTACCAATACAGCCTAAGAAATGTAACTATTCAAAATCTTACTATATTTGTTTGAATAAATAACTAATTTCTTAATGTTAAAATATAAAAGGAGAAAGACTTTAAAAATTCATGCATGTTTAACGGTATTTTAGATTATCTATAAAAAATAAGAGTCTATACAATAAATATCTCCAGTGCATTCAAGGGTTAAGGAAGCAGAGAAAATTCTGGTAAGACACTGGGATAGGAAGCCGCAGAAACCTGTGTTCCATTGAGACAACAAAGTCACTGGTACTGCCTATCTCATCTACCCATTTTGGAATTAGGGAGTCAATCGCAGGGCTCCTACTTCCAAGGGAAAGCTTAGATAATAGTAATTAACTTGATCCAATTTCAATCAGGACAGTTGGAACCACCACTCTCTACCCCTAAGTCTGTGACAATGCAGCCAGGCATTTTGTTTCAGAAGCAGCTTGTCTATTTGTTTGTTTGTTTGTTTTTAAATAGTATCTCAACTATGACCAAGATGGGCAAAACAAAACCTGTCTCTGAGATTATGCTATGACTGATACTGACGGTAGAGATACAGAGAAGGCAAACACTGTTGCTCAGTCTCCCTCATTTTCATGCAAGTCCCTCTCCCTTTGGCCTCAGTGACTTAAGAAAATTTAAAGGGTCATTGCCTTTTTAGCCCTGGTAAGGCTAAACCACAAAGACACTGAAAATCTGACAGTATCTATAATTACAATTAAATAAGGAATCAAAAATCTTCCAGCAAAAATAAGCCTTAGACCTGATGGTCTCACTAGTGAATCTTATTAAACTTCTAGAGATCGCTAATCCTTCTCAAATATTTCCAAAAATATTAAAGAGAAAGAAACAATCTCTAATTCTTTCTATGGACATGCATCATCCTGATACTGTAGATTAACTTCACTTATGAACATTGACAATAGAAATCCTCAACAAAAACTAGCAAATTAAATTCAGCAGCCTATTAAAAGAAGTATATATCATGATTAAGTGGGACTTATTCCTGAAATACAAGGATTCGGCATACAAAAACTGAACACTGAAAAAATATGAAGAAAAAAGACCTACATGGTCATCTCAATACAGAAAAAAGCATTTAAAAATATTCTTTTAAGATAAAAAATTCTAAACAGAAACTATTTCAACATAGTAAGTCATATATGAAAAACCTGTACCTAAACATTATGCTCAAGTATAAACAGTGAAAACTCTACCTCTGAGATCAAGCACAAGGATGCCCACGTTTACCACTGTGTGTGGGGGGGAGGATGGGGAGTGGTACTGAGGACCAAACACAGGACCTTCGCACCACAGTATATCCACAGCACTTTGTTTATATTTTATTTTGAAACAGGGTCTCACTAAATCATCCAAACTCAGCTGAAACTGGCTATCCTTCCAAAGTGAAGGAATTACAATCATGAGCAACTATGCCTAGCCCCTTCTGCCACTTCTGTTCAACACAGTGCTGGAAATACTAGCAAGAACAATTAGACAAGAAAAAGAAATAAAGACAACCAATTTGCAAAGAAAGAAGTAAAATGATCCTTATCACAAATGGTGTAATATTTTATATAGAAAAACCTTAGATTCCTTCTAGAACTAAGGGAATTCAGTAAAGTAAAAATGATACAAAGTCACATACAAGGAGCTGAGGAGATAGCTAAGCTGCAGAAGCAGCTGCCTGGCAAGCACAAAGTCTTGAGTTTGATCCCCAGTACCACCAAAAAAAAAAAGTCTTTAAAAAGTCACACACAACATTCAGTTACACTTCTACATATAATGATACAAAACGAAATTTTAAAGTCCACTTATTATCAAAATACAATATTTAGAAATTAATCTTAGTGAAAATTATAAAACACGTCTGAAATTAAAGAAAAAATACCCCATGTTTGTGGGAAAACAATATTGTTAAGGATGAAATACCATCAAAAGCAGTGTATAGATTTAACAGCTTCTCTATAAAAATCCCATGATGATTTCTGCAGAAATGGAGAAAACATTCATTGAGAACATCCTAACATTTATTGAGAATCTCAAGGAACTTCTAAATAGCTAAAAATAAGCCTGAAAGAAGAAAAAAAAAAAAAAGAACACTAAAAGGCACACATTTCCTACCAAGATATAAAATCAGTGTGATGCAGGCACACAGATCTACAGAACAGATTAGGAGGCCCAGAAATAAACACACGCACGTATAATCAACTGATCTTCAACACGAATTACAAGAATATACACCAGGAGAGAGCAGTCTCTTCAACAAATGCAAATGGGTAGACTAGATACCCACACACAAAAAAGGGCTTGAGATCCTTACCTACTATCATATACAAAACTTAACTCAAAATTGGATTCATGACCTACATTAAAACTTAAAATCATTTTTTAAAAAACTCTTAGAATAAAGCAGGGTAAATAAGATTGGACTTCGCAATAATATCTTGGATATGACAGCAAAGGCACAGGGAACAAAAGAGAAAAACAGACAAATTAAGACACACAACAGCCCTTTTGGCCAGAACCACCATTGTCTAGTATTTGCAAAATGACTAACACAAAGGGTAAGAGGAGGGGAACCCGGTATATCTTCTCCAGGCCTTTTAGAAAACATGGGGTTGTTCATTTGGCCACATACATATGAATCTACAGAAAGGGTGATATTGTAGACATCAAGGGAATGGGTACAGTGCAAACAGGAATGCCTCACAAATGTTACCATGGCAAAACGGGATGAGTCTACATTGTGACCCAGCATGCTGTTGGCATTGTTGTAAACAAGCAAGTTAAGGCACGATACTTGCCAAGAGGATTAATGT